CCCCCCCCCCCCCAGCAGAGGCTGCCCTTATTTGCTCACAGTCGCTCTTTGCATATTGAGGCTCAGGCTAAGGAAGCCTGAGGGGGGTTCCTCGCAGTGTGGCTTGTTGGAGTTCAGGGGCCTCCCGTGCTGGGGGGCAGCCTTTCCTTTTTCCTCCAAGGAGTGGGCTGGCTTGAGGGGGTCCCTGGAGGGGCTGGAGGGGAGCCCGGGTGGAGGCTGGGTGTGGGCCTTCGCCCTGCGCCCAGTGTCTGCCGGACCTCCAGGGGATGGACGGTGGTCCCGTGGCTGGGGAGACGGCAGCCACGCTCTGCCACGTGTGATCTGTCCGTGGCATTTGGCTGGGGCCGTGTTCTGCTGAGGCAGCCTCTGCTCACCACCCTGAGCCGCGGCCCCTCGTCGTCTGGTTGTGCTGTGGACTGGGGCGACTCGCTCAGATGGCCAGGCTATTTCCAGCAACTCGTGGCCACACCCCGGTGGGGAGCCCTGTGGGGGAGACGGGAGCCCGGCCCCAGGGCACTCCAGCTGCAAGGTCTCCCGCGTTGGAGCAGCATGGGGCAGGGACGGGGGCACAGGCCGAGGCTGGGCAGGGAGCCGTGGGCCGCAGGAGGTACTGGGTCTGCCTTGGGGCTTCTTTCTGGCCTGGCCTCGGCTGCAGCTCTCCAGTGGGCCCACCTCCCCAGCCCTCACTTCCGGGGATGGCCCGGGCCAGGGCCTGTCTGCAGGGAGGGCAGGACGCTGGGCCTGTGGGGGCTCGGGCCCCTGGTGGGCAGAGCTGGGCTGTGTAGCCTCTTGGCCCGAGGTCTGAGTGGAGACGAGGGATGTCGGGCAGTGTGAGCAGGGGCCTGCCTGGCCCAGCCCTGCTGCCTCCTGGCACCTTCCGCCAACATGGTATGTGCTCAGCCCGCTGTTCGCCGGGCACCGGGCATCGTCCTACTAAACCTTCCCTACGGCCGTGTGAGGAGCTCGCGTTGATCATCCCCATTTTACTGATGTGAACATGGAGGCTCAGAGAGGTTAATGAACCTGCCCAAGGTCACACAGCAAAGTGGTAGCTCGAGACATCTCAGATCAGCTGGACGCCTAGGCCTGTGCCCTTAGCTCCTGTGGGTCTCGCTCCCCGAGGCGGCCTCTTCAGAAACACACGTTCCTTCGTTTCGGTATCTGATGTTTGTGTGTCACCACGTCCTGTCCCTCTAAGGTGCTCCCTGTCGTGTCGCGTCACGGCCTTTACCATGCTGACTTGCTGGGCAGTGCCTGTTCGCTGCGGGGAGCTTAGCCACCGCAGCACAGCGAGGAGAGGGACGATGGAGTAGCCCCGACCTCCTTCACGCTGCGGCTTTTAGCGTCCAAGGCTGCGTAGGTCCCGAGTCCAACTTCTTTCTAAGCCCAGTGTCACCTTGGCCCTGAAGCCTGGCCCATTTTTCTGGGGAGGCCTGTCGCCCCAAGAGTGGCTGCCGCCCAAGCCCCGTGGCCC